TCTTCAAGGTAGAGCTGCAGGTAGGAGCGGGGGCAGTGGCAGATGTGGCTGGTGAGCAGGGCAGAAGCTGTGCACTGGCTCCCAGGACCTGGGAGCCGCTGAGGGGCCATGTGTCAGGTTGGCTGGCAGGTGAGTGTCTTACTATTTTCAGTGCCCTTGGGGTTTTCCGTCCAACCAGATCTTTTGTGTTTTAATTTTTCTCTTTTTCTGCTTTGAACTTCCCCTTTCGGGAGCAGTTTCAGGGGAGTTTCCGGAAGCTGCTTTAAGATGGCAGGGGGACAGAGAGGTTTGCCTCTTGGGTGCCCTGTTATTTATGAGGGAGGGGAGCCCAGGGCCCTCTCGAATGGCTGAGCACTGATACCCACCCACGGGTGAATTCCTGCGTAGGCTCTTGCAGAATTCCATTTGATTTCCGCGCTGGGACACAGAACAGGCACGGCCCACAGGTGGGGTTCATGGCTTAGATGGTAGGAAATGAAAGAAACCAGGACTTTCTCGCACGCAGGACCTTTGCTTGAGCCAGCAGAGGAGAAAGCATCGGAGTCTTTTCAGCACGTGGGTTAGATGAGAGGCTGCCAACCGGTGGCCACAGGCTGAGTCCAGAGCTCTGATGTGGCTGGCTAAATCCATAGAGGGTTTTTAAAATGGAGAATTTTCATGAAAAAGATCTGAGTTTCTTGTTTAATTAAAATAATGGTCTGCTAAATCCTAGGTCTGTGTTTCCTAGTTTCACCCGCTAAGGTCCCCCCACCCCACTACTGAAGCTGGTATGGTACCATTTACCCTTGTGCTTGAACTTTTGCTTTTCCTGTAGTCATGGTAACAGGAAAGGGACCTCTCTTTCCAAGCCTTGTAGCTGGACTAAAGTCGGAAAACGCAGATCAACCAAAGTTGCCCTTGAGTTTCAAGAAAAATGTAGAAGAGGCTGTTTCTTTGTGGAAGCAAAGAATAGTCTACTGAGTCCAACCTGCAAACACCCTGTGTCCCCCTCCCCCACATATGTCCTATCCATGCGCCCCGCTGGTCCCCTTTGGGCATTCCAGCCTTGGATGTTCCCGTTAGAAGTCTGTGGGTAGAGCTGAGACAGTCTACTCTGTCTCAAGCTGTAGTTCTGGATTAATTTGTTCCTCCGATCTTCACGGCAGACCTGCTGTGTGCCAGTCACTGTGCCGGGCACCAGGGAGAGGCCATTGAGACAGGTGTGGCGCCTGCCCCCGCCGACTGGCTGACTAGTATGACAGTCCAGAGAAGAGCAGACTGATAATCATCAGAGTAACTAGATGGTGGTCAGTGCCCCAGAGGGGACAGCGGAGGGGCTGAGATGGAGATGCTGGAAGGAACCACAGGGCAAAGGTCTGGCAGCGCGCGCATGGCTGGAGTCGGGGGACAGAGATGAGGAGGTGCCCAAGCGGGTGGACCTCAGTAATCACGAGTTAGATGGAGCAGGGCTGGACCAGGGCCCGGGGACATGGGGAAGAGTCTGGATTCCACTCTGGGGCATGGATGGAGGTGATGAGCCGGGGCGAGCTGGGTGTGAGCAGAGAAAGACAAGATGGGGTTCACGGACGTAACGGCTGCGGTGCTGGAATGTGTTGGGGTGGCAGAGGGGCAGCAGGGAGACCGCCGATGTGGCCGGCTGGGTGTTCGTGGACCCAGCGGGCCACACCTTCTGAATCGGAACCCAGGCCAAGGCGGGTGCTTGGTGAGGAGGGCTTTACCTGCCTTGGAAGGGGCCATCCCAGCTCTGAAGAGCCTCATGACGGGATGGCCGTGCCGGGAGGGGAGGATCAGCCCAGAGCCTCGGCTAAAGGTTCCCAGTCTGGCTGACCCTCAGTACCAACCGAGAAGCTTTAAAACAGACAGGTTTCCATGAATCAGAAACCACCCTGGTGCCCGTCGGCATAGTGGTCCTTCTGCACCGTGGCCGGCTGCGGCCCCAGCCCTAGTGGGCTCTGAAGCCATCATTCTCTGCCAGCCCCAGCGCCCGGCACCAAGGGAGCAAGGCGAGACTCACAGAGGTGCATGCGGTGTAAGTAAAAAACTTAAAAAGCTGAAAAGCACCTATGTCATGCATCTGTATGTAGAAGCTTAAGTTGCATCAATCTCTAGAAGTGAGGTGGGGCGGGGATGGGTGGGGTGGGGTGTAGGCAACACTGGGGTCATCTGGGGATCTTAAAAAAAAAAATCCTGATTCCTGGCTCCCACCCCGATATTCTGATTTCACTGGTGTGGGGCCGCGTGGGTGCTGGTGTTCTAACAGCTCTCCAGCAGGGTTTTAAGCCTGGAGTGACCTGGTCTGATGGGTCCTCTAGAAAATCACTGTGGCTGCCGGTAGAGAACTGGATGTGGGGGCACCCGAGACAGAGGCCCAGACCTGGGGATCTGGGCTTGTAATCACCCTCCCAGTGATGGTGATGGGCCACCTGGTGGGGGTCACCCCGGCCTGACCTGCCTGTCAGTGGAAGTGGGACCTGCCCCCCTTCTGTGAATGCCCTGCTTCCAGTGGCAGCCCCAAGAGGGTGGGGACCACCTCCGCCACCATCTGTCCTGCCTGCTGCTGTGTCCACAGCGCCTGGGACTGGGTGACTCTGCAGATCAGTTTAAGAAACATCCTTTACAGACGTGTGGAGCCCCTCTACCCTCCTGGCTCTGGTCAGGCAGGACTGCGTGCTGGGAGGAGGTGGCCTCTGGAGCCACGCAGCTGGGGTTCAGACCTCGGCCCACGCTCGGTGCCCCTCCGTGACTTGTCTCATTTCATTCAGTGGTTGCGGGTGGGATGAGCTAATTCACGGACATGCTTGGCCCGGGGCTGGCCCACAGTGAGCAGCTGGAAGCATTAGCTACGATTATTCACGTATTCGTGCTACAGATGTTTATTGAGCAGGTACTAGGGGCTGGGAGGTGAGAGCGCATGGGGGGCATTTTTGTCTTCAGGGCTCTCAGTCGGAGCAGGTGAGAAGGTGGGGTGACCCCTCCCCCCGCCAGGCTTCCAGGCTCACAGCTGTACTCAGTGTTTGGCAGCGGGTGATATCAGCCCTTCCCTGGTGCTTAAGATCATGAATTTTCTTTTTTTTTTTTTAGGTGAGGCGACCCTTAGTTGACCTCACAGATTGCAAGGATCTTGTCAGCTTACAATCCCTTATTTTTTATTTTTTTAATGTTTTTATGCCTACACCACCTGGTTTTCCTAGGTGGTCTCCCAGCCAAGTACTAACCAGGCCCGACCCTGCTTAGCTTCTAGATCAGACGGGATCGGCCTTGTTCAGGGTGGCATGGCCGTAGACAAGATCACGAATTTTCACTCGCCAGCACAGCCTCCCCTAGGCCTGGAAGGCGGTGTTGTTTCTGACCCGCGTACCTGAGACTAGCCACAGACTCCGGGCTCTCCGCTCACGAAACACAGCTGCCGAACACACGGTCCACATGAGCCACTCAGGCTGTCTCAGGCTGCCTTGGGATCAGAACTTGTTCCTTGGTGCAAGTGTGGCAGAAGTTTGGCCTATATAGGTGCTTTTTAAAGTAGATTGGAGTTGCTTTTGCTTTTTAAATAAGTTTTTGTTGTAAGAAATAAAACATGCATGTGCGTCCCTCAAAATCCCCAGGCCTCAGGGGCCAGAGCGCGGTGAGTGAGCCCCTCATAACCTGGGTCCTCAGCCCCCTGCTGCTCTCTGCAGAGGCCACCACTGTTCAGGTCTGTGTCCCCTTCAGGGGCAGGAATGACAGGAACTTGCCGTCCCCACCGCCGCCTCCCCTTCCGCATGGTGCTTTTCCATCCGCCCTGCTATGTCTTCGAGATCTTTCCGTGTGAGCGCAGGGAGAGCTGTCCGATTAGTTCAGCTGTTAAACGGAATTTCATTGCCTGTCCGGATTATAATTTAGGTAATCATTCCTCTATTGTTGGACATTTAGGTTACGTGGCCTTTTGCTGTCGCAAAGTCTGATGCAGCGAGTGTCTGTACTACATCATTTTGCCTTCGTGCACATATGTCTGCAGGATGAATACCCAGTGGGGGAATGAATTACTGGGTCCAAGGATGTGTGCATTTTAACTTTTGGTCGCTGCTGCCAAGTTAACCATCTTAAGAGGTCAGAGTCAGGGGGAGTGTAGAGTAGAGTGGCCCTTCCCAGACTCTCAAACCTCAAGGTCAGGGCTCTCTCTGGGGCTGGGATGGGAACTCTTGTTTGCCCTGCTTTGGGGACCTGGGAGGAAGGAGTTCCGTGTCCCCCTTTTGCAATGTGAATTATCTAGCGTGCCGGGTCCTTCCCAGTTTGCAATTCCGACCCGAGGCCCTTTGGAGAACCCCCTCATTCGTGGCTCGCTCCAGCTCCCAGGGTCTTTCCACCATTGTTTCAGCTTTTCATCCTTTTTCTGCCTCCCGTCAGTCTGGTAGAAGGGTAAACACCGACATCAGACATCGAAAAGACCTTTACCTTTGCTGTCATCTGACGGGATGGGAACTCCCAGGATGGGAGAAGAGGGGTTGTTCCTAATTAGGTGCCCTGTGTGTGGGCGGGTCCCTCGGCCGTTGGGCCCAGTTCATTTTCACCCCATCATGTACTCATGGCCCAGCCTGGCCGGAGGAAGCCAGGGGCAGGCACAGACCAGAAGCCCGCCCTGGAACTCCACCTGGCAGCAGATGGGTGTCCTCTGGCTGGCACGATGATGTGATTTAAAAAATGCTAAGTAGTTGCCGACTTCTAAAAAGTGAAAATTTCACATAAAAATCCAAATATCCAGGCTCTCTAAAAATGGTGCAACCTAAGGCACAGGTTTTTGGTGTCCCTGTGTGTGTGTGTGTGTGCGTGTGTGTGTGTATAGCACTATTGTAATATAATTTACATGCCACACAATTCACCCCTTTAAAGTGTACCATTTAATGGCTTTTTTGTATATTCACAGAGTTGTGCAACCATCAACCCCAATCCATCCTAGAACATTTTCATTACCCTAAAAAGAAACCCTCTTTCTTCATTTCCCCCTCCCTCACTCCTCCAAACCCCACATTAATTTACTTTCTGTCTCTATAGATTTGCCCGTTTGGGACATTTCATATATGTTTGTGTTTTAAGGGCACTGATAGGCCAGAGGTTCAAGGCCCCGTTCCAGCCTGCAGACAGGTTTGTTTAGCCATCAGAGTGCTTTTTAATTTTTTAGGTTAGTTTTGAACACTTTTGAATTGAGAGAGTTTGTGTAAATATATGGATCACGATTTTTCTCGAACAAAACAGATTTGGCACATTCACACCCGGAACAGTCCACTAGAGCCAAGTCGCAGCCGCCGCCTTTCAGATGGGGCAAGGGGGCTCCTGTTTGCCACAGTCCCTACCGCTCCCTGCTGTCCCCTCGTCCTGGGGCCAAGTGTCAGCTACTATTATCTTGTTGGTGCTGCTGTGTTTCTTAGAGAAAAGTAAAAGGTCTCTTATCAAAAGCGAGAAACTGAAAATAGGCAGTGTGCAGAAAACATGTTCTTAAGTGTGGTCCACTTTCCCACGTTTGTTTTCTGCCTGGTTTCTGTGTCCCTTTGAGTTTGGAGACCCCAGTCAAGTCTCAGTCACACTCATCTCTCTTATGGGTATAGCATCTTGCCGAGAGTAACTGAGAGAGAAATTGCTCAGTTGACCCTCAGCTTTCATCTCGAGACAGAGTCTGAGGATTGTTTTGCCCCAGTGTTCAGTGGGGAAACTGAGGCACAGAGCTGGACAGAGATGTGGGGAGGGCCTCACGGCCATCGTGGTTGCGGTTCTCATGCAGCAGCTCATTTTTCGTTCCTTCTTCTCTCCCTCCTTCCTCTCCTTCCTGCGATGAATATTCACTGGGCATTGTGCTGGTTACCAATTGCCAGGTAACAGACTTCCCCAAACCGCAGTGGCTGGAAGCGCCGTTTCATGGTGCGTTTTATGGTGCGTGATTTTGCAGGCTGGCGGGACAAGTTGCTCCCCTGTTGGCTGGGTGCACTCATGGGGCCCGCACTCAGCTGGAGGTGTGGCCTCACTCTTGTGCTGGGCAGTTGGTGCCGGTGGCTGGGGCATCTCAGTCTCCCTCCATGTGGCCTCCCCAGCAGAGTCCCCTGGACTGCGTCACATGGCCGCTGTCATCCAAGAGGGCGAGTCGGGTTCTGCAAAGTCTTTTCTGGCCCAGACCCAGAAGTCGCAGAGCATCGCTTCTACCATATTCTGCTGGTCAAAGGAAGTCAAGGCCTGGCCAGATACAGGGGCGAGAGGAATGGGTCCCGCTTCTTTGTGGGCAAAAGTGCCAAAGACATCAACACGAAGGTCTGCAGGATAGGAGGGAGCTGGAAACACAAGCACCTACTATGTGCCGGGCATTGTTCTAGGCCTTGGGAATACGTAGGTGAGTAAAAGAGACTGAAACCTCTGCTGCCTTCCAGGAGCTTTCGTTCTGGTGGGGGAAGATGACAGGAAACAAGTATAGTACGTCAGATGGGGGTAAAACTATAGAGAGAAATAAACTGGGGCAGGACAGGGAGTGGTAGGGGCTCTGCAAGGTCAGGGGAGTCCTCACCGCAGAGACATTTGAGCAAAGGAAGCATCGGATAAGCTTTACCAGTAACGGGAACAGCAGGTGCAAAGGCCCTGGGGTGAGGACATGGTTGGTGGGGAGTGAACAGTGGTGATGAGCTTGGAGAGGAGGCAGAGGGTCCAGATGGTGCAGGGCTGGGGAAGCTTCCGTGTGGCTTTACTAAATGAGGTGGAAAACAAGAGAGGATTTTCTAAAAATGAAGATATAATTCAAATAACATGAAATTGATTATTTTAAAGTATATATTTTAGTGGTTTTTACTATATTCAGTATGTCATGCAGACATCACCATGACCTAGTTCTAGAACATTTCCATCACTCAAAGAAGAAAACCCCATAACCATTAGCAGTCACTCCCTGTTCCCTGCTCCTCCCATCCCGTGAGGAGTGACAACCACCAGTCTACTTCCTGTCTCTGTGGATTTGCCTCTTCTGGACGTTCACGGCAAAGGAATCGTGTAAACGTGGCTTTTGTGTCTGGCTTCTTCCACTCGGGACGTTTTCAAGTTTCATCCACGTCGCAAAAGGTATCATCGGGGTGTCGCTCCTTTTTATTGCCAAATAAATGTTTCATTGTATGGGTGGACCACATTTTTGTTTGTGCATTTATCGGTTGAAGGACGTCGACTCGTTTGAACTTTTTGGCTACTGCGAATAATGTACAAGTTTCTGTAAGAACATATGCTTTCCACTCTTTTGGACAGATCGCCGGGTCAGAGGGTAACTCTGCATTTAACCTTTTGAAGAACTGCCAAGCTGGTTTCCACGGCGACTGCACAATTTCGCATCCCCACCAGCACCGCTCGAGGGTTCCAGTTGCTCCATGTCCTTGCCAACACTTGTCACTTTCCATTTTTTGTGCGTGCTTGTAGACATCCTAATGGCTGCACAGAGCTGTAGTGGAAGATTTTGAGCCGAGGAGGGCTTTGGTTTCCTTTGAACAGGATCTTTCAGAGAGTGGATTGAATGGGAGCAAAGGAGGCCGTGGGGGACCAGTGGGTAGGCCACTACACTGGCCCTAACAAGAGAGGACAGTACCTCGTGTCGGGGTGGCGGCCAGGGAGTCAGAGAGAAGTGGTCGGAGATGGGATCCGTTTTGAAGGCGAAACCGAGAGGATTTGTGTACAGATTGGATGGGGCGGGGGCGAGAAAGAGGAGTCGAAGATGCGCTCCGCTCACTGGCCGGAGCGACCGGGCAGTGGCGTGAGCGTTTGTCAAGTCGGAGAAGACCGTGGACGAAGGGTCTCTGTGTGTTTTCTCGTGCCAGCCACTTGGTGGGCAGGGGCCGGCCCCTTTTCGTTTCTTCGCCGTGCCCAGCGGGGACGCTCGGATCGGCACTTTGGGAGAAGGGAGGACGCGGAAGAAGAAAGTGAGAACCACAGTTCATGTGAGTTTTAAGAAATGTCCACCAGTCATGCCCCGAATGTCACTGAAAGTGAGCCATTTGCTTTCTTCCTCTCGGAGTGGGACAGTTTGTGCCCGGGGAGTTACAAAGAACAGCGAGGGTATTCATTTTGCTTTTGATTCATTGTGACTATGGGCTGGTTAAAAAGGTGTGTGGGCTGCAGCCCACAGGACTCTGGTTTCTGAGGCCATTTAAGGGATTATCTGGAGAGAAAATCGTCCCAGGAATGATTCGTGGGCCTGGCGGGGTGGCTAACCCTGAGCTCCTTCCTGTGGCTGGGAATATCTTGAGACTCGTTCCTTTCTTAGCTGACCAGATGGTCAGCAAACACTGTCTTTGCTCTCTCCTGCTTTGGGGCACTGTCCTGGGGACCAGGAGGTTGGGATGGGGTTTGAGGGGAGACCGTAACTGACAGGCAGCAATAAAGGGGACACATTTTCCTTTTCTTTAAAGAGCATCTTGGTGGTTACAAACTTCAGCTCTGGAGTCAGAGTGCTCAGGGTCAAGTATGGCTTCAGTGTTTGTGAGTTCTGTGACCTTGAGCAAGTGACTTAAGCTTTCTGGTCCTTTGCTCCTCAATCCATAAAGGGGGGGGAGGGGATTAGAGTACCTACTGTATAGAGTTCTGAGGATTAAACAAGATAATCCACATATAGTAATTAGCCATTGCTTTTATGATCCAGTGAGAGATTCAGAAAGCAACCACTTATTATGCATCTGCCGTGTGTCAGCAGTCTGTTAAATGATTTGGCTTCATTGATTATGTCTGATTAACCTCCTAACAACCCTGCCTAATGACACTTCCTGTCATAGGGGAAGCAACCAGGATGCAGGCGTTAAGCTTTTGAGTTAAGGTCATATGGCTGGCAAAAGAGAAGACAGGATTTGAACCCACGACTGACCAACTTCCCTTCTGCACGTGCCAGGATAGGTTGAGATGTGCTTCCTACGAGCAGAGAGCTTTGGGGAGGAGGCAGCCCGTCCAGCAGGGCTGGGGTCTGCTTTGTCTACACCTGTTCTCGGGAGGGAGTCTCCAGCGCCCATCTTTGCCACTCTCCCATCTTTCTTGTTTTCTTCTGCATCAGAAGGGACAACCCACCCTCTCCCACCTCAGTGGCCTCTCTGCTCCTTCCTTCTCCCCTACTGCATTGTGATTTTCACCACTGTTTCACCTTTCATGGGGGTGGGGAGAGCTTCCTGTGTGTTTCTCAGTTCTCCCTCCCCTGAGGTCGCCTTCCCCTGGCAAACCTCCCCCGTTCAGGCACGGAAATAGTCCCAGCTGTGAGTTGAAGGTTCCAGAGTTTAAAATTGCAACTGGGTACTATTTATACTCCAGCAGAAAGATGTTTTTTTTTTTGTGTGTAGTCATTTATTTTGTCATGGTAGTGACGGCTTGGGCTGCAAGCAGCAGGCTCTGGGACTGTATAAACATTTCTCTGGGGACAAGTGGGTGGTGAGGGGAGCCTTTAGGTGTGGGGGGCAGGTACCAGGCCTGCCCAGAAATGTCTGGTGTCACCTCCCTGGAGCAGAACGATTTGGCTTGGTAAGCCAGAGAAAATGATTCATGGTCTAGGTGAAGTTTCTTCCTAGACGCCTTATAATTAAAAAAGAGAGAAGAAAAGAAATACAGGTATTTTATAAGCCATGAAAATTGTACATGCTTCAAGGGACAAAAGATTCAAACTCATTTTTACACAAATGATTGAAGCAGGGGTTGTAAACTGGCAGACCTTTTCGTGTTCATGTTTTGCTTGGCCCGTCGAGTGTTAAAAAAAATTTGTTTTTGAATGGGTGCCACTATTTAAAAATTGGGCCATTTCCCATATGATTAAAATTTCTAGCTTCTCTTGAAAAATGGAAGGACCTGGCGCCCCGGTCCTGTTTCGCGGTAGCTGCTGGTGGCTGGCTGCTCTGGGACTGGACGAGCCCTCTCAGGTCACCGCAAGCCCCAGTGGCCTTCTTCCTGCTTGATACTGCCTGGCCCTGGTAGCTTTGGAGTTTTGGACCCTTCAGATAACATAAAACCTTCAAGTATCCCTGGTCAGACCCCATTCCCTGATCCCTGCTCCCCAGAGCCACGTAAGCACGACGAACAGGGGTTTTCCAGAGAAACTGCAGGACGCCCGGTGAAATTTGAATTAAAACGACGAATAATATTTTAATGTAAGTGTGTCTCCTGACTGTTAGCAGGTCGGTACACATCATGGCAGGCCTTCGCCTGTTGACTGTGCCATTTTTCGTTGTTGTCACAAGGCTCGGTGTATAGTCCACAACGTGTGTTTCCTCTCCACAGTGTTTCTCAGGAGCAGGCTTTGAGGCTGTGGACTCAAACCTCCATGAGAATCCTGGCCCCACCACTGGCTGGCCGTATGACCTTGAACGAATCACCTCACCTCTCTGAGCCTCAGTTTCCTCATCGGAACAATGGGAATGATAAAGGCAGCTTTGATAGTTCTCACTGGTGTTTATTTATCTCATCTCTTGAAAGCTGCATAGTGTGGATGGTCCACGGTGGCTTTGACCAGTCCCCTGTCCACAGGCATCAAGATCGCTGCCAGCTTATCGCTTTCAAATGAGGCCACGAGAGGTTTTGAAAAGGGAAAGGAGGTCTAGAGGGAGCTGGGCAGATAATCCTAAGATTTAGTTTGCTTTTTTAAAATGAAGGGCGTTTTTTAAAAAAAAAAAAAAAAAAATGAAGGGCGTCCGTCTCCCTGGAAACCACTTGCTAATCTCCAGGATATTGTCTCTTTCCAGGCGAAGGAGGTGGAGGAGACCATTGAGGGGCTGCTCCTCCGGCTAGAAGAGTTTTGCAGCTTGACTGACATGGTGAGTGTCTGCCTGGGAGCTGTGGATTTACACCCAGGCCAGCCTCCAGGCCCTTCCTGGAGTTTCCTGGGGGAGCCATGTTGTTGGTGGTGATTTAGCATCCAGAAGGAGTGGGGAAGCGGCCAGCGTGCGAGCAAAGCCATGCTCCCCCACACCCTCGCTCACACTCTCCACACCAGGGCTTCCTGAGGTGGCCATCTTGATTACCGTCCTTCCCCCTCGAGGTGGTTTTCATTCCACAGAGGAGCCAGGCGTGGGCCACCAGGTGGCACTCTCGGGCACCGATGCGGGGAGCCGGTCGGCGGGGATGCTAGGACTATATTTAACTTTCGCTAGCTCTGCGCAGTTAGCCAGGCAAATGTGGAGACAGCCAGGAGATGGCTTCAGGCCTGCGAGGCTTTGCTCAGGCCACAGCCCATTGGACATTGGCGTTGGGCATTGGGTTCCTTACTGAGCCCTTTTTCTCTCTCTGCGTTTGCCCCTTACCCTGTTTGTTTACATGTTTGTTTGTTTGGGGTTTTTTGGAGGGGGATCAAAGCCCCTTGGCTGGGTGGGGATGTACATGGAAGATGGTGCTTTAGGCCCCGAAGATAAGATCTTCACTCCAAAATCTCCTCTAGACGCTCATGTCCCCAGGATTGCTGCCAGCCAGGTGTGAGGCCCCAAGGAGCAATGGTAGAATTTTCTGGAAGTTCCCAAGCTTATTAAAGGGAACTTCCCAGCAATCAGGGTTGGAGGCTTCTGTCTGGAAGGTCAGAGGGTAGAGCTCCACGTCGTGGAGTCGGGGAAGTCCGGCCGGGCCCAGTGGTATAGATTTGTGTACCCGAAGAGCAGGTCCGGGGCATTCGTGAGAGCCCACGGGAGTAACAGTGACAGCCCCAGATGCTTACTGAACATCTACTTTGTGCCAGGCGCCACACAAAGCCTGTTTCCCGTATCATCTCCTTTCTCCTCGAAGCAACCCAATGGGACGGGGACCACGTCCTCCCCGTTCATTCAACAGACCCACCTTGTGTCAGCCTCGGGGACATAGCAGTGAATAATTTAGAAGTGTTCCCACGAGGACCTGTGTGTATTTTTCTCTCGAGAGCCGATGTTTTAGTTCAGACGGGGGTCCAGGGGGGAGCTGGGTAATAGGACAGACTTTGATGATCCATATAGTCTTTCTCCAAACATTGGGCCCCTCCTCTGATTGGGTCCTGTGGTTTCCCCTGTCACGATGGTGCGTTCAGGTGCAAAGAGAGGCTGCCGAGGTCTTGAAAAAGGAAGGAGAGTCTTGAAGGAACCGGGCACATAATCCTAAGACTTAGTTTGCTTTAAAAAAAAAAAAAAGCAGAGGCGTTAAATTCTGCCTGGGAAATTGGGAAGGCTTTGCAGAACAGGTGGTGATTAATTTGGGGGTTGAAGCAGGAATAGAAAGAATTCAACTGCTGGGGAGGGTGGGCATTCAGGCAGAGGGACTGGCCTGAGGGTATAGTGTACTGGACACAGTGTGGACCGTGAGGACCCACAGGCAGAGGGCGGATTTGGAAGATGGTGTGGACGGGTGATCCGAGGGCATTTTTGTTGACACATCCCAGCCCATCCTCGAAGAGCCGCCAGCCACCCAGGAGGAGAGCTGAGGATGGGCGTCAGCTCGGATGGGCAGTGGGGGCCCAGGCCACCCTTGCCTTGAGGACCGCCAAGCCTTCCTGTGTTGCGAAGTCGGTGTGTGTGTATTGCCAGGCGGCCCAGGACTGTGTGCAGCAACGAGAAGGCCCCCTCTGAGCTCAAAGCCTGGAGATGCAGTTATGCAAAGATTTTAACACTGAGGTCAAACACAGGTGAGCCATAGGTCCCATCCGGGGGGAAAAAAGAAATTAGCTGCTGACATTTGTACAACATCACACACAAAAATCTGGGTTTCTGGCTTGTCTTAGAAAAACAAAGACGTGCGTCCACCTGCCTTTGGGTGCTTGTTCCCACCTGGCCAGTATCAGTCAGAGCTGCATAATGGCCGTCCTCTGTGGACAGCACATGTGCTCTCCTGCCTGTCGCTGTCCCAACTGCTTCCTGTGGGGGCCTCCCTGACCCTACAGCCAGCCACATCCATCATGTGCTTGCGTGTTTCATGGTAGAGTGTGTTTCTCTGTACTTTGGGCCCTACTGAAAGCAAGCAAATGAGACCGGACCAAGAGGGCCCCGTTTCAAGAAATGGAAGAGAACGCACTTCCTGTGGCAGTGAAGACCGTTTCAGTGTGTTTATGTGCAAACGAGCGTGTCTACATTGGTAGACTGCGCCTAGCACGCTGCTCTTGTGGCCCTGGAGGCATTTGGGATTTGCAGCCCCTGCATCGATGCTCAATGCTGACACCCCAACAGCTGATGCTTAGCTTACCTGCTGTATCCGAGTCCAGGTGTTGCGGGCTCCTTGGCACAGAGAAGTGTCCAGCTACCAGCCCTAGCTAGGGGTCTCCTTTTCTTTTTTAATCCAATCTTGGGATGATCCTGGGGACAGGTGATACCACGCCATGGACCACTGTCCTCGGGTCCCTGTCTTGGCCACAGGCCAGTTACAGTTACTGATCAAGTTGCAGGTCCGAGAGAAGCCAGGCTCTCTGGTGCACAGTCCTGAGAGAAGCCACTTCGTTTCTGATAAAATGAGGCTATTAGAAACGAGAGTCCAGCTTCCGTCTAATGCGTTAGCTCCCCTGCTGGCTTGTCCTCGATCACTCTCTGTAACTGGGGTTCGATACCCTGTGCCCGTAACCTGGCTTGACCTTCGATATAACGCCAGCTGCTGCCACTTCAAGGTCTGACCCTTCCTACTGTGGGGCCTTGGGCACGGCATTGCGCTTCTCTGTGTCTTTATTTTCTCCTCCGTAGAAATGGAGATAATGGTTCTGATTATCGATTGCATTGAACTCCTCCAGAACTTGGTTGTGTAAAATAACCCATTTATGATGTGGGCCAGGGCAGGGCACAGAGGAGGTGGCTCATCTGAGCCCTGTGGTACCTGTTGGGCTGGGGATGTCTAAGACGGCTCCTTCTCTCACTTGCCAGATGTCTTGGCTGGGAGGGCTGGCCGGGGACTGGTTGGCATGCCTCTCCTCCTGCAGCCTCTCCATATGGCTAGCTCGGCCGCCTCATAGCATGGCGATTCGGCCCCCAGAGCAAGCATTCCAATAGACAGAAGAGGAGGATGCCATGTCTCTGGAGGCTTGTGTATGGAAATCGACACAGCGTCACTTCTGTCATATTTTGCCAGTCAAAGCAGTCCCATAGCCTACCCAGATCCAAGGGGAGAGTACATGGCCCCTCCCTCTTCACGGAAGGAGTGTAAAGAACTCGGGTCCATCTTTAACCTACTGCCAATGGTATCCATCTCCAAAGAGTTATCGGGAGGAATAGATGAGGCAGGGATGTGGCCAAAATGAAAAGCACAGACGATATAGCAAGTGTAGACGAGGCCGTGGAGCACCTGGACCTCTCATTCACTCGCCGGTGGAAATGCAAAAAGGCACAGGCACTTTGGGAAACAGTTTGGTGGTTTCTTATAAAGTCAAACGTATCCTTACCCTACATCCCGTCAATTCTAATCCAAAACCATTACCCAAGGGAAATGAAAATAAGTGTCCACAAAGACTTGTGCACAGGTGTTCAGAGCAGCTCTGTTTGTGATGCCCCAAACCGGAAACAACCCACGTGTTTATCGACAGTAGAAATGGGTGAATACATTGTTTATTCCTGCACGACAATGGAAAAGAGTGGACTCCCGTGCACATCATGATAACTGTCACAGACGGGACGCTGAGTGAAGGAATCCGGATGCAAGAACACATTCTGTGTGATTCCTTTAATATGAAGTGTGAAAATAGGCAACTAGTCTGTGGTGATGGCCATTGGAGAGCGCTTAGCTTTGGGGAGTGCTGTGCCTGGGGCGAGGCATGAGGGAGTCTGCGGGGTGCTGGGGTGTTCCATACATTGGCCTGGGCGGTGGTTACACAGCTGTAAACATACGTATGAATTCACCAAACTGTCCAGTTAAGGCTTGGGCACTTTACAGTATGTCATTTACACTCAGGTTAATAACAATTGCTCAGTACCGCATCTGCTCCATACTATGACCATACAAGTCTATGGCAAAACAATTGCTCAGTACCGCATCTGCTCCATACTGTGACCATATAAGATGGCTACCGAGATTATCTCCGTCATTATCAAAATGCCCGAGGGTAGTGACACGGACGAGGTTATCCACAGACAGGGACGAGGTTATCCACAGACAGGGACGAGGTTATCCACAGACACCGATTTGTAAGGCCTTCCCGCTCAGTGCCCTCTGGGGTTTGGGCAGCTCGTCCCAGCCCTCTGAAACCCCCATGGCCTGGGGCCCACCTTCTGCCAGGGAGCAGACTCTTACTTTGCTCACATAAATGGAGAAAATTTCTTGTTGGCCTCAGCCCAGCAGTTGCATTTGGCATTGGTGTGTGTTCTTGGGTCAAGTGCATTTGGCTTTCCTTCCTGGAGGCCCTGAATCATCTTCCACAGCCGTCTTTGCTCTGCGATAACCCCCACATCCGCTGCCCAGACTTCTGGGCTCCAGAGGCCAGCTTGGGGAGAGGGGAGGACAGGCGGAGGAAGGGTCTGCCAGGCCTCCAGACCAATAAACCTGGCTGGGTGGTTCGTCCTGGCAGAGGCTCAGAAAGCATTGATCCCTTACGGACATCTCTTTGCTCTTCTTGGTAACATACAAAGCGCGTGTTCTCAGATGCCTGTGATGGGATGATGTGTAGCAGGTTGGGTGTGAGGAGAGAAACGTGTTGCTTTCCTTCGACTCCCATTTAAGAAGAAAAGTCCCATGGACGCCATGTTGGGGAGGCTCTCGGGAGTGGTGGGGACTGTGGTTAACCCAAGGGGGCAGCTGTCTCCCAGCTCTAGCTGATCGTTGCCACATGAAACAGGGGCTCAAGGTGACCAGGTCTTCTGATTTTTTCACAAGAAGCCAGAAATCTGGGTCTTCAAAGAAAATTTCCTCAGTTTTAGATCTTGGCCCCTAACTTGGTGATGCTGTTGTGTTGTCGATTTTGGTTTTTTTGGAGACGATGCGGGCTGGCTCTGCATGTGTCTGATAGAACGTGTCTGCAGACCTCTGGCGTTTGGGAGGGGAGTGGCTTCAAACCAACCTGGTTTGGAATCCCCCGTGTCTCGCTTTGTAGCTTTGTGACCTCGGGCCAGCTCATTTAGTTTTTCTGAGTTTTTCTCAGTTTTATCACCGACAAAATAAGGTTGAAGGTGAACTATTTCCTCTTCACATGGCATTCCCAGCACATGGCGACCGCTCCTGGGGTGTTGGTGTCATGCCCCCTTGACCCAGCCTACATGATTTCCAGTTCATGGAGAAACCAAGAGAAAGGTTTGGGGGTCCCTCAGACCCCAAAGATCACCCTCTACTTTTCCCCCACACCTGCAGCCCGCCTTCTGGGCTGGTCTGGGTAGTTCCCTGCTGCCTGCGCCTTTAGAAACAGGCTTTCTCACTTGGCCCTCAGACCACCTCTCTTCCTCCCGTCCCTTCGGATGGAAGGCGGGGCGGTGCTGTGGGCGGTGCTCGGTGAATCTGCTCTCTGCAGCATTCCGTTCTCTCCTGTAGGCTGCGGACACCAGGCCCTCCCAGCCTCACTGCCCCCACCCCAACTTGTTTCTTTAGAAATTAGCAGAAAGGAAAACAGCATTTGATCCTCTGTGTTCTGACCTTGCCATGAGTTATCTGTCCTTCATTGCATCATGGTGATTTCTCCTGAATTTGCCCTCGTTGAGAGACGTGGCTTTGAGGGAAACAAAGGCGTTCTTGAGGACTTTTCCCCATCACGGTAGCAAATGCAGGTGCCTGCGGGAGTCAGGCAGGATATGGACACAAGCGAAGGGGGCGGGCGAGGCATTAGGGACGGGTGGTGACTGTGGAAACCCAGCCCAGGGGCCTGAGCCACGCACAGCTCAGCCTGTGGTAGCTGGAGAGCCACAGGCCCAGCGCTGCCAAAGCTGCTGACTCTTAAGAGAAGCTGTAAATCCAGACTTAATCAGTTCGGTATTTTTAAGCCATACTTAATGTGTTTTATTGCGAAATAGTTTTAGATTTACGGAGAAGTCGCAGAGGTGGCACAGAGAGTTCCCGTGTCCCGCCCCCCCCAGTTTCCCTTTTGTGAATGTCTCACGTCATCCCAGACTTTCGTCACAGCTAAGAAACCAACACGGCACGTTGCTGCTCACTGAACCCCACCAGCTTCCCGCGGGCGTCTTCATCCTGCGACCCCGTCTACGATCCCACCCTGCATCCAGCGGCCGTGTCTCCTGCAGCCTGCGACACTTTCCCTGCTTTCGGCAGTTGGAAGGAGTATTTGTCAGGTGGTTTGTAGAGGGCCCTTCGCTCTTGGTCTGCCTGATGGTCATTGCGTGTGCATCACACGGGGGGCTCTGGCCGTCTGGAGAGAAGGCCATGGGGGCGAGGTGCCTTCTCATCACAGCTTATCAAGGGGCACGTGACACCCATGGGACATCACTGGGGTGTCAGCCCTGGTCAGCCTTCTGCACAGTGACATAACGAGCCCCCGGCCCCCCGACCGCCCCATAGCCTATTCAGTCATTCCTTCTTATGAGACTTGCGTGTATTTATTTTATACTTTGGGTTATAATCCAATATTACGCTATTTATTTTGCTGTTCAGATTGTTCTAGCTTTGGCCCATCCTTTATTATTTTTTTTAACATTTCCTTACCAGCTGGCACTACAGGGTGCTCCGGGGTCTTCTGTCTCCCCTACCTCAGCCCTGGAATCGGCCGTTTCTCCTAGGAACCCCATTCAAATTTTAAAGTTGGAAATTCAGTTAAATTTAAAAACTGAAACACTTGGTGAGTCAGATCAGGTACATCCGTGAGCCACGTCCAGCCACAGATGATCTCGTTCAGTCCCCAGAGCATTATTTCCAGAGAAGCACTGGTGTGATCCCCATTTTACAGATGAGGACACTGAGGCCCAGGGAGGTCAGGGCAGAGACTGAGGCCCGGCAGCCTGAGCAACCTCGTCCTGGGGCCGAGCTTCGACCTCATGGGGTCAGGGCAGGGGGAAGGAATGTACTTCAGGACAGTGGGCTTGGGGTCAGGCGCCCGGAGAGATGGCAGTGCCATGACCAGAGGAGGGGAACCGGGAGAGGAGTATGGTTTCAGACATGCAGGACCATGGGCCGGCTTCCAAGAAACCCAGGGCGAGCGAGCAGGTGGCGTCCTGAAGGGTGGTGGGAGCGGAATCCCATGAGAACCACAAGACGCGTCCTGTACTTAGGCAGAAAGAGGAAGAAACACAGGTAGTTTTCAAAACCATTTTTAAAATGAAAATTTTGTGCTGAGTTGTCACCTGTGTTAGTTACCTGTTGCTGCATAACCAATCATCCCAAACTCAGTTACCTTTCTTATTTAATAGTGTCTGTGGGTCAGGAATCTAGGGGCAGCCTGGCTGGGGCCTGTGGTCCCGGGTCTCTCCCAGGCTGCTGTTGAGGCATTGGCCAAGGCCATGGTCATCTCAGGGCTCAAGTCAGGGCTGGATCGCATCCAGGGAACGTCATGAGTTCTGGGTGGGATTCACTTTCTTGTGGGTCATTGCACTGAGGGACTCAGTTCCTCACTGGCTATTGGCTGGAGGCCACCCCAGTTCCCGGCCATATAGCAACTTGCTTCACCAAAGCTAGTGACTGAGAGGGAAAGTTGGGGGGGTGGGGGGCGGGTGATGAGCCAGCAAGAGAGGAGACTGCCAGCGAGATGGAGTGACAGTCTCTGTAACCTCGTCTCAGGAGTGACATCTCTTATTTTGGCTGACTCCTCTTCATCAGAAGCAAGTCCCCAGGGCCAGCCCACAGGCTAGGGGAGAGGTCACACCAGGGCGTGGATTCCAGCAGGTGGGGATGACTGAGGGCTATGTCAGGAGCTACCTGCACGCCCCATGTCAGACACTCTGCTGAATGTTCCGTCTTCCCAGCGTTCCAAGGACACGGAGGCCACTGCAATTGCTTCCCTGTCCAGGTAAGTAAAGGAGGGCTCAGAAAGGTGTAGTGACTTGCCCAAGGTCCCACCGCTCATGGTGGGTAGAGCTAAATTAAACTCCAGTCTGCATCCCGAGTCCAGCTCCTAATGTGCCCAACTTGTGTTTCTCTGAATGTCCCCAGACCCCTACTCTAGCATAGCCTTGGAGCTTGGCTGAAAACACAGATTACCAGCCGACTCTAGACAAAGCAGACCAGGCTCAGAGGGGCCTGGAGAGCAGCCTTCGACAGGCATCCCCCAGGGGATTCAGGTGCCCCTAGCACCTAAGAGCGGCATGTAAGCTGCCTCTCTACCCCGTAAGGACATGATAACACGGAAATGGAATCTCTTTCACACACATACCGAAGGGTTGGGCTCCGTCCATTCAGCTCAAAGAAAACAGAGGCTTAAGTGTCTGATTTCAGTGATTGAAGAGAGGTGGTGGCTTCCTAACGTTCACAGTCACTTTTGGGTCCCTCTACGCAGAAGAAATCGAAAAATAAACGAGGTGCATGGAGCACAGGAAGCGCTCAGCTCAGTGTCTGCCTGGAGGAGGCTCCCTGATCCGTCATGGCTTTCGTTACCAAGTTAATGATTGCTATTAACTTGTTAGTATTATTAATTCCAGTGCAGGGAAAGCTCGACTCACCTTGACTCTGGTTTAGAGATTATGATTCTTTGCGTTTGTCTAGTTCAGTGGTTTAGAAAATGAAGATGTTTAGTTTGGGGAAACAGTTTTCGGTTCAGTAAATAATAACTGGGTGGGTCTGGGACTCTGGGTTACTCCTGGGCCTGTCCCTGGGCGGGATGCCACTCAGTGTCTCAGCCATCAGTGAGGTCTCTGCAAACCCCGGCCGATCCCAGAGACGGGCGGCAGGATGCGGTGACAGGGCAGGGCGCTTGATGAGCTGTTTTGTTCCTTGCAGATCAGAAGCGACACTTCACAGATCTTGGAGGAAAACATCCCACTCCTTAAGGCCAAGGTGACAGAAATGCGTGGCATCTACACCAAAGTGGACCAGCTGGAGGTGTGTACAGGAAAACGAGCTGTCTTTGTGAGACCGGTGGATTAGTTCTGCCTCTTTTGTGCCCTCTTCCAAGACGCTAATCTGGCCTCGAGAGTGTCAGGCGTTAGACCCAGTCGACCCGTTAGACCCAGTCGGCCGAGTTGGTGGCAAAAGGGGGCCTACGCTCACGTGGCATTTTTTAAAAAAATGTGACAGATGTGAATTTATAGAAAGTATCCTATTTTAAAAAATTGGGTATTTCATATAAAAATATCTGGATGTTAAACTGCTTTTGGAAATTCGGAAGTTTTCTGACCCTGGGCCCACATTTCTCTAAGTACTTTCTTCTGTTTATTGTTCGAGGTGTAAATACATAAAGCACACACATCCTTGTGTCCAGTTCAGCAAATTTTTACACATGTACTCTCCCAGGGAGAGATGGCCCACACTGAGAAACAGAACATTTCCTACCCCCAGCTGTATTCTTGTGGAGCTGGTGGCAGCTGCGCCTCACGTGAGGCATGTCCTCTCGCGGTCACCACAGTCCCCGCCGTGCCCTATGGCCTCACTCCTGCCTTATCTCCCCCATCCGTTACGCATGTGGGCACCAGGCTAAGCTGGATGGCCTCTCATTTTTCTCCTTGCTGCCCTGCAAAGTTGGTACCCTCGCCGTCCCATCTCCCGGACGAAGGGCATCAACTCCGAGAGGTAGGCCACTTACCCAGGGTCACGTTGCTAAGTGCATGAAGCTGAGGTTTCCGCTCGCATCCACGGGGCCTGATCTCTGAGACGAGCTGGGGCCCTCGGCTCAGGATCTTCGTTCCCTGCACGGAGAGGAGCTTAGAGCTTAATAGCTGTCACCTGGACAGAAGGGACGTGGGCCTCTCTGAGCTCCAAAGGAGGGGAGCGTGGCTGTCGGCACTGGAGTTAGCAGAGAATTAACATTCTTGTCAGCAGAGAGCGAGGCAGGATTATAATTAAAACTTTGCCCTTGGAATAGCTGATTCATTTGAATTTTATTCCACACATTTGAAAGAGGAAGAAAAAGTGAAGATTGGCAGCCCCGGTTTTTGCCTTGTTTGGGTCAACCCAGTTGACCCAAAGTCCAATTCTTTTCTTTAGCGTTCAGCCCATTAACACTCACTGAGGGCCTACTATGTGCCGCTGTGGGGTCCTCACGGCGAGAAGGCAGATACAGCCCACCGCCACATTCCAGCAGGAGAGACACATCTACAAAGCATCACCACAGTAGTTTACTGTTGCCGCCGTAAAAATTACCACCGATTAGTGGTTTAAAACGCGAATTTCTGATCTTACAGCGCCTGAGGTCAGAAGTCAAAAATATGCCTTATGGGCTAACGTCGAGGTGTCAGCCAGTTCCTTGTGGAGGTTCTGGGGGAGAATCCACACCCTTGGCTTTTCCAGCTTCTAGAGGCTCCCCGCGTTTCTCAGCCCGTGGCCCCTTCCTCCGTCTTCAAAGCCCCCGCCCGGCTCAGCATCCTCCAGTCCCCCTCGTCCTCTGACACTCTGTCCCCTCGGGGAAGGACCCTGTGATTACGCCAGGCCGGCCGGGTGAGCCAGCATCATCGCCCCATCTTAGTTCCGCCCACACTTGCCCAGGGTGATTGAGGGGAGTGAGGCCAGGGCTGCGCTGACTGCGGAGAGAATGCTCCAGGCCGCTGGAGGAGGGAGGAGTTGGGGGGTGGGAGGTGCGGGTGGGGGCGCAGCTCAGGGAGAGGCTCAGACGAAGGGAAGATCTTGGCTCTGGGGCAGGAGGAGGCGAAGTGATTTGCCGGAGGTCACACAGCTAGGAAGTGGCGGAGCCGACACTGAGAAAGACCGTGCTCCTAAGTGTGCCTCCGTGCCCAGTGCTGGCCCTCTCTCTGGACCGGGCCCCGCTCCGAAGCTGAGGCCTTTGCCAGAGGAGTTCAGATACATCAGAACTCACAGATACAATGAAAAACAGTGGGACTTCTCTCCTTCCTTCCTTCCTTCCTTCCTTCCTTCCTTCCTTCCATCCTTCCTTCCTTCCTTCCTTCCTTCCTTCCATCCTTCCTTCCATCCATCACAGTTTATAATGGTTCTTTCTCATTTTTATTCTGGTTTTAAAATGTGTTTTGATTTAAATTAATAGTTTATAAAGCATAGTACTGAGATTTTACTCAATGCATTCTTTGAGCCTTCCTTTCCTTCCTTCCTTCCTTTCTTCCCTCCCTTCCTCCTTCCCTCCTGATAATAGTAATATATTTCACTGTAGAGAAAAATATATAGAAGTCACCCATACCCCCAACACTAAGCCACCAGGGGCCTATGATGAGCTGTCACCTTCTTTCTGTCCCCCAGTCCCCATCTGTGTGGATACATGTGTGTCCCCTCCTCCCCCATCTTCCCCCTAGTCGGCTACAGGCTGGGGTGGCCCAGGCTTGGCCTCTTCCAGGCCTGGCTGGGCAGGGCTGCCCTCGCTGGCAGGCATTTTGGAAGCGGGTCAGACCTCGTGAGCACGCATTTCTCGGCGGCCTCACTCCCCACCAGACTGGTCTTAGCACAGGGAGCGTAAAATTGGAATCGGCTGGAGGAAGGGGATGGCAGGACTTTCTTCTGTGTTTTGCAACCAGATGTGCTGGCTAAACATGGCCTCCGAGCTCCAGGGCCGGAGCCCTGGTCAGGAGAAGCTTCTAGCCCATGTCGCCTTGTCCTCCCCCCGACTAAATACACACACGCACACACATATACGCACACGCACATCCACACCCCTGATGTGGCTTATTCAGCCCCTTGGCTCTGCCCCTGCCAGAACCACAGGGCAGCAGCAGCACGACAACGCCGCCATCTTGGGTCCGTCCAATGTCTTTTTGCTAAGGATGCATTGATTCTTTCATTCATTCATGCGTGCATTCATTCACGTGTGCATGCATTCATGCATTCACCAGCCAGCTGACCAGGCTCTGGTCTTGGCCGGTGCACAACACTGACTCAGCACCTGCTCGCTCAGAGCTGGCCTTGCAGAGGGAGGTGGACTGTGAATAAACACACAGGGAAGAAGTTCAGAGGGCGAAGAGAGCTAAGAAGACAGGAAGCAGCGGTTCCACAGCGGCTCAGGGGTTGCGTTCGATCGGGTGTTCAGGGAAGGCCTCCCTGTGGAGGGGACAGTCGATCCAGAGCCTGAAAGACAAGCAGCATCCGCCCCGTCAAGAGCGGCCAGCATGGAGAGAGCTGGTACAAAGGCCATGTGGAGAGTGAGGCCTGGAGAGAGCTGTGCGGCTTAGGGCAGGTGACCCAACCTCTCTGGGCCTTCGTTCCCTCCTCTGCAAAACAGAGGCTAAAAATTCGGGTCCGTATGGGGAGGATATGGGAGGACACAAGTAGAGGCTTGACCAGGCCTGTCCCTGTCATCGTCAGGGTTCCCGAAGGTGGCCTCCCAGCTAAGTAGCCCCGACCTCTCCAGGAGCCCTTTGGTGGCAGCGATTGAGGGCCTGGCGTCTCTGCTGGCCGAGGGGGCCAGAAATGTGGTCCTGTCCGTGGCAGATGTGGCATCTCTGCCGTCTGCTTTCTCCGCCAGGCCTTCGTCAAGATGGTGGGGCGCCATGTCTCCTTCCTGGAAGACCACGTGCTTCAGGCTGAGAGGGACCACGGGGCCTTCTCACAGGCCCTGCGGAGGTGGCTGGGGTCCGCGGGGCTCCCCCGCTTCAGGACCGTGAGTATCTCCCCACCTCCCGCCTCCTCCTACTAGACCCTGGAGTGGGGAGAGGGGCTCAGGAAATGGGAGTTCAAAGGGCACATCTCATTTCTGCAGACAGGAAATGGTGTCTGGCTGGCCAGAGGAGGGCCGGCCCGCGTGGCTGGGCGTCTCGGTTTCTCCCTCGGGTGCCTCTTCTGACCCTGAGCTTTGAGCTTCAGTGCCATGACTGCTCGTTTATTCATCCCCCATTTATTGAGCGCCCGG